AAGTCTGGTTCAAAGTAAAGTAATAATAATAATAATACATGGGATTTTTATAATCAATCAATCAATCAATCAATCAATGTTTATTTATATAGCCCAATATCACAAATGTTACATTTGTCTCAGTGGACTTCACAGTTTGTACAGAATATCAGTATGACAACACGACACCCTCTGTCCTNATCTATATATATATCTAAGGCTATACATATACAGGACTGTCTCAGAAAATTAGAATATTGTGATAAAGTTCTTTATTTTCTGTAATGCAATTAAAAAAACAAAAATGTCATACATTCTGGATTCATTACGTTTTTTTAATTGCATTACAGAAAATAAAGAACTTTATCACAATATTCTAATTTTCTGAGACAGTCCTGTATATGTATAGCCTTAGATATATATATAGATGCTACACATAACTAAATTTAGACTCTTCAGATAATGATAGTGAATTATTAGTGTATTATAGACACATGCATTTCCAAACATTTGGTCTACCTACGTTGTAAAATGTATTATCTCTTCGATTTACACACAGCATCTATTGCACGTCTGTCCGTCCTGGGAGAGGGATCCCTCCTCTGTTGCTCTCCCTGAGGTTTCTCCCATGTTCCCCTTTAAACTGTGGGTTTTCTCTGGAAGTGTTTTCTTGTACGATGTGAGGGTCTAAGGACAGAGGGTCTAAGGACAGAGGGTCTAAGGACAGAGGGTGTCTTGTTGTCATACTGATATTCTGTACAAACTGTGAAGTCCACTGAGACAAATGTAACATTTGTGATATTGGGCTATATAAATAAACATTGGTTGATTGATTGACACATCGTACTGACAGCAGATTTAGAGTATAGTCGCCATCAATGGGCCACAAGTCTGACAGGATACACCCACATTCAAATTATACATTCATGAGAGTGATTGCTTTGGACAGAAAACATACATTACATGTGTCCCCCGTTTCCGTCTGATTTCCCTTCCTCTCACACACCAGCTCGACTACTTCCTGACTCATTTATGAAATAATTGATTTTCTGTTGATCCTGCGTTAATCAAAATGGAAATGAGCATGTCAATTCCCCAGCATTGTGGCTCAAGACTGCTTTATAGCCCATAGCTCTGGCACATGCAAACACAGCCTTTCATTGCACAGCCCTAGATGAGTCATAATAAGGAATTGCATATAATTACCATACATTTTTTCAAACCTAGAATTATCGTCTAGAACTAACACATTTGGTGATTATCCCGGGAACATAACGTCTATATTTATCTGCCTCCTTCCCCTCCTACTAATTCTCTTTTGTTCTTTCGTCCTATTTTCTTTTCTCCCTTCTTTCATCATTGGACTGGGAAGCAGGGAAACATTTAGGAGGAGTTTATTCTAAGAGAAGCGGGAGTGAAGGGTGGGAAGATGAACAGACGAATGTACAAGTTCTCATTTTCTGACTGAATGCCTACGGAAGGAGCAGTGACAGCATAATCATGAGAGAGCGCTGTGGGCTTCAAAACACAGATGACAGAAAACTGTGAGAGATGACACACCCCATCAGGAGTGTGCAGGTGTGTGTGTGTGTGTGTGTGTGTGTGTGTGTGTGTGTCTTTCTCTGTTATTAATGCTGTCTGAGTTTATAAGCATGTGTACACCTGAATGTCTTCTGTGTTGTTATTGTGTTTTTCGTCTGTCCATACTTTCAGTTTCTTTCCTATTTGTCCCTTAGTGTGGTGTGTGGTTGGCCAAAAGAAGAAGAATTGGGAGAGATGAACCCCTCTTTAATGGTCACACATGCAGAGCACACAGCACACACAGTGACATTTGGCCTCTGCATTTAACCCATCCCAGTGCCAGGAGTCTAGTAGTAGGAGCAGTGGGCAGCTATTGCACAGCGCCCGGGAAGCAATGGGAGTGAGGGGGGAAGGGGGGTGTCTGGTGCCTTGCTCAAGGGCACCACGGCAGGGCAGGAGGTGAACTGGAACCTCTCCAAGTAGCAATCCACACTCCATATTTTAGGTCTGGTCGGGGACTTGAACCGGCGCCCCTACGGCTCACAGTCCAAGCCCCTACTGACTGAGCCACTGCTGGACAAAAAGGTCTCTGCATTTGACCCATCCTAGTGTTAGGAGCAGCGTAGGGAACGGTGCCTTGCTCAGGGACACCTCGGTAGCACTTGGTCTTTCCGGGACTTGAACTGGTGACCTTCCAGTTGACCAAGCCAACGCCCCGATCGGACTTCGCCAC